AAGTTGTGTGCTTGCTCTATTATTAAAATGGTCACTTTTATTTCTTTCAAAATGCTTGGATGTATAGCTCACAAACTTTAAATAAACTGTATGATGTTAAATCCAGATGATCTTAACTATGAAAGATAAAATTCTAAGGCCACAACTTAACCTAAGTGTAAGACCCATTCACCTGTACTCCCGAAGGACTGCAGAAATAATGGGAAGGGAAAAATAACCTACACGCAACACACACCAAACCACGTTTAAAGACTTAATTTTCCTGCATGCTGAGAAAATGCAATATTTGTATATATTTGCTTTGCTTATGAGAAAGCTAATGAAATTTCTCCCTCTCCTGTCTCTGCTCATGAAGGAATGGCAAAGCCTCAGGCCTCCTGTTAGGACAACACAATCCTCTCTGCAATACATAAGGTTCGTAAGCACTGGGGGGGCCTTAATGGTGCTGTAGCTGGGCCTCACCATCTCCCCCAGCTTTCTACAGCTTGAGACAAGCTGCTGCCACCAGTTCACTCGCTCCAGAACGGCTGCAGAGTCACATGCCCCACGGCATCGCAAAGCAAGGAGCAGTGGCGGACTTTGAGCAGAAGCCCAAAAGCTAAATAAGGCAATTAACTGCAGGTTCATGCACATAGATGGGACTGCCCCAAGCTGTGGGCTTGAGCAAGCGGTGGGGTGAACATCCAGGGGCACTGCTGGGCAGGCAAGTGGTAAAGAGCGTGCATTGCAGGACGCTCTGTGACAGGAGGCATGTTCAGTAGCAGTCCATGTTGCAGACGGCATCTTGATCTTTATTCTGAGTGACCCAGGCCCCCTTGTACCACTGAAAACTGATTTTCTTCTTATCTTGGTCTGTTAAGTACTAATAGGAAGCTTTCCCTGCCTCATAAACTAGGATACAGCTTTGCTGAAAGCTGCTGGAGACTTGTGCCAGCCAAGGCAGAAAGAGATGGGCTTCCTGCAGGGCACCATCCATCTTACCTAATTTGACAAGTCAGCTGAGACCACAGCACCCTAGGGAGGGGGCATAGGAGGATGGTAATGACCATTTTTATTCTTCACACCTAGCTTGTGGCTAAACTGTGACTGGATTACTCAGACAGCTCTGTCCTCTAGCTCTATCCTTTCACAGAACAAAACGTTATGTAAATCCTTTTCATTTTCCTACAGCATTTCTGCATTCTACTGTTAGAAACTGCCAGTGTAGAAGCTGAGTTGGTGTAGGCACAAGACCAGATGCCCAGCACAAGAACATGGTGCCCATGCCTGATCCCAGTGCTGGTCCGTGAGGTGTGAGACGGGGAGTTCTACCAAGCCTTTGAGATGATGAAGGAGAAGAAGCCTACAGGAATTGCAGTAATATAGTCCCAATTTATAACCAAGCAGAGAAGTCTGGAAAAGATCTTCTCTGCCCTGCATGAAAAGAAGGGGCTGAGCATACATGTTTCCTAGGCCCCTGGAATAAACTTTCTGCAGAACTGGAAGAGAAATTTGGCATCTTTTCTCCACTGCTCCACTGAGTCGTGAAGACTCCTTAAAATCTTGCTTTGGTCAGGCCCCTAGAAAAGTCAGAGAGCAGAAGAATTTTGCTTATTCCTCAATACTAAATGTGCTTTCTTTCTTTTTTCTTTTTTTTTTCCAGTAAGTATACAAATCCAATTTCCTGAACATTCCCAGAGTAACATTCAGTCATAATTTGACAACATTTTTAATGGTAACCTTACTGTTTTAATTATTGCTGTATAAAGAGCAAGAAATAAACATCAGGCTCAGTCTCAGCTGAGGCAGCTGTTGCAGGGAGGAGAAAGCTGAACATGGCTGTACAGCCAGCCTTCCATTGGTGCTTGCTCAGGTAAGAGGCAGACAAATGCAGTAGTCACCTGCACTCTCTTCCACCCAACAGTCATGCACAGACTAGACCCACTGGCCATTTCACAGTCTGGGAAACAGTTTGTCTGTCCTCTTATGGTGCACAATTTCTGTTACTCACAGTTCAAAATCCTTACAGAATGAATGCTAGACTATAACAAACAAATAAATAAATATCTTAAAAGCTAGGTGGAAGGGAAAAAAATTGGAAGAATATATCTAAAAAGGAAGAGTGACAGCAAAAGAGCCAACTGGATGGATGGAAAGACCAATTATAGTGATTTAAAACCAAACAAAACAAAAACCTTCTTCACTCTAGTAGGTAACTTGCAGTAGCCTCAGCAAGGAAACAGAGGCATCATCCTGAAGGAGGGCGATAGAAATTTTGTGAGGACCCTGCTAGCCTAAGGTCTGGCTCTGGGGTGCGGGGCTGCCTTGAATTCAGGAAGGAATTGGGACTCTAACAGGTGTGAAAGCCGATGTGCCGGTCTGCAGTGGGACTTCTCACAGCATGAGGAAAGCTAACTAACTGGCCCAATACGGATCCGTCAGTGAGCACATCTTAAGGCTTTGACTCACTTGCCTAAGCGGCAGTTGCAGACACATTTGGCTATCAGACACAAGGGAGCTTTCTGGTATATTTTATCATCTGTACTGCAAGGCAGTGCAGAGGAATCTGTGATAGAATTGTACATGTTCCATACAGATTTCCACCCCTGGTGGTTGCCTCTATTCAAGACTGGCCTTGAAGTATTTCATGTTTCTGGACATGTTTTTTCTAGCATAAGTAGAGGGATGATGTCTAATTATTTCCTGCTGTCCTCTCTGTGTCTTTATTACTCCATTAAACAAACAGACAGTGTTTGGTATATGAGTAAGAAATGTAGTGTAACAGAAAATATGCTAGCAAGGAAACGATTACTAATCACTGCTTTTTGCTCAAGACAGCTAAAAAGACCTATTTACTTGGCTCGTCAGCTGAGCAAACTACGGTCTTCCAGATGCCAGAAGCCATCCTTGTCCTTTGCCTCCTAATCCAATTTCATTTCTGTAATGAATTTGCGGGAGTAATGTTTATAAGAGCAAAAACGACTTGGACTCAAAAGGCACTGAAAAATTTTCTTCTTCCCAAAAACAGAAGACATGAAAGAGATGAAGACAGACAAACTGAAATACAACCTAACAGTATATTAAATATCTTTAATATACATGACTCAGAAAGGATCAATAACATTAACATTTTCCGAGGACATGCCAGTACAGGTTACAAACTAAATATAAACTTCTGTTAAAACAAAACTACACTATTGCTTTAGGCAATAAAAAAAATAAGTTAATCAGAGCTCTAAAGTGGTAATGAGATGGAAATTATTTACATGTGTAAGGAGCCTGATTCATTACCCCTATTGGGGTAAAAAGATGCAAACTACTTGAAGAATACATAATAAATCCACAAATGGGTAAGTTTCCATTGTACTCCATCACGCTACTCAGGTGTCAATTTTTCCTGGGCTCAGGCCCCAATGTTTCCTGGGCTGGTCGTAATTTTGTGACAAAGTAATCACCATGTAACTCTTATAGTTAGTACTGTGAGCCACACGCTGAGTGCTCAAATATTTTCATTTAGAAAGCTTTAATTTTGCAGTGGCTTGTGCTCCTGTGCTTACCAGAAATCAGACAAGACAGGCCTCAAACATCAGCTCACCTGCAAATTCATATGCAATCTCAGAAGAGAGGTTTATGCTTTGAAATAACTCTGTGAAATATACCCCCATCTTCTGCAGCTTTACATAGCAGCATGTGCACAGGCTTGGTCTAAACTGGCAGGTAATTTTGGTCAAAATGCAAGCGAACTGGTTGCGCTGGCCCTTCCCCAGGATGGCCGTGGTCCAAAGCAGCCCTATGGCCTGACCACTGGGTCAAGGCCCAATGTTCCCCAGCAGAACGGGCGGTCACCAGAGTCTGGATACTGCTCCTCTGTGGTGGATCTTTCCTCATGTGACTTCTGCCTTTTCTGGAATATTTGCCAGCCTTCCCTTTTGAAGCTTTGTTTTCCCTCCCAGTCATCCTCGCTCCAATGCAGACCGTAATTAACAATAGGACAAGAGGAAATGGCCTCAAGGTGTGCCAGGGCAGGTGCAGGTTGGATATCAGGAAGAGTTTCTACACGGAAAGAGCAGTGAAGCACTGGCAGAGGCTGCCCAGGGAAGCGGTGGAGTCACCGTCCGTGTCCGTCCCCGGCAGGGTTCAGGAAGCGTGTAGATGAGGCGCTTGGGGACATGCTTGGTGGTGGTGGTGATGAGTTTATAGCTGGACTTAATGATCTTGAAGGTCTTTTCCAACCATTCTTATTCTAGGATTCTATGATCCCTTCCACAAGCTGCTGGAGACCTGGCAGGTGTCGCCATAAAGCTGAACGCTTCAGAGGCACTCAGTTACAGCAAAATCCAAACAAACACCATACATACATACATATGTATATACATTCTAGAAAAGCGAAGCACGCGGCAGGGCTCCCCCGTTCCTCCCCCCAGGCCAGGGCAAGCCCCAGCCCCACGAGGCGGCGGTGAGGACGCAGCCTGGGCCCCACACCACCCCGTCCTGCCATGCTTGGAGACCCTTATCACCTAGAAATAGGCTCAGGTACCAGTGTGATTTTGAGGTTTTAAACTTCAGCAAGTTTACTTGCATATGAAAAGAAACGAGTACCAACTCCGAGCTGACAAAAGGCTCAAAGGCTGGCAGTCAGTTTCCGCAACTCTTACCCGGACTGCAGCAACTTACCTCACATCAAACCTACTGAAATCAGCACTAGCATCAGCAAAACAAAGGCACTGCCAGACAGCAACTGCTGAGATGGCTTTAGCAGCACAAGATACCATCTTTCACGGCCACTGAAACTCTTCAGAGATAAAACACAAATTACTACTTTTGGTGACTTTATTCAAATACCAAATGGCAAAAAGGCTTGCCGTCAAAGGCAAAAAGCAAAAGCAAATTTCCCCCCCTTTTTCCCCCCCCCCCCCCCCCTTTTTTTTTTTTTTTCTCTTCTCCCCTCCTCTCTCTCTCTCTCCGTCGCCCGCACCGGGCGCTGCTCGCCCGCACCTCCCCCGCCTCTGCCCTTTCCTCCCTGCGCGCCTCCCGCCGCGGCAGATGCGCCGGGGCCCGCCGCGCAGCTGGGACTATGGTGAAATTTCCAGCGCTCACCAACTACTGGCCCCTCATCCGCTTCCTCGTGCCCCTGGGCATCACCAACATCGCCATCGACTTCGGCGAGCAGGTAACCGCCGCGGCGAGGGGCTGCCGCCCCGCAGCCGGCCGGGCTGGGGCTGCTGCGTGCGCCGGCTGCGGTGGCCGCGGCTCGGTCCTTTCCCTTTTTCCTTTTTATTTTCCTATATATCAGGGTTATATAATCTGAAATTATATAATGCGTTTTGCTCTTTATTTATTTTATTTATTTTTATTTTTTGCTGTTTCCCCCCTGCTATGGAAATGTTTATGTTTCTCTCAGGTGCAAATCACAGCGCGGTGTTGCTGTTGTTATTATTGTTATTTATCCTCCCCATCTGCGCAAGGGCGAGCGGCCGCGCTGCAGTCTCCTGCTCAGGCCCGGGCGCCCCGGGCTGTTTGAAGCGGTGCCGCGGAGCGACCTGCTGTCGCCTGGTTCGGTTCGGTGCAGAGCCGCGACCGGGGGCACCGGCGACTCTCCTCATGGCACCGGGGCTGAGACAGGGCAGGCGGCAGCCAGAAGAGCTGCTGCTGCCCGCACCGCTGCTGCTGCCGCCCCTCCTTGTGCACGCAGCGAACATCCCCTATAGCCCCGCTCGGTACCCTCGCTGGTCCAAGGCTCTCCCGCAGCCCTTCTCCTTCTCCCTAATCCCGGCTTGCGGCGCTGGCACTATAAATACCGCCCGGGCTCGGCGTATGCTGCTCTCATCCCGAGCATTTCATCCGGGATGCTTATCTGTCACCGCGTTGGGATGTGGAGAGCGCCCCGGTCTCTCCAGTCGGGGCTTGTGAGAGCCTCGCGCGGAAATTTTTCGTGAGGGCAGGACCCCTTGGTGCTTATTCACAAGTGCAGAGCTGGACAGGCACAATAGGTAGCCCGTGTCACTTTTAGCCTTGCCCTGAGTTGCTCGGTTTTGCCAAGCTGCTGTTTCCTAAACGGAGCGTGCGTTTGCTCCTTGGGCAAAGATACTGGGAAATTAGTGGGTAATTCCACCTGTAGATAAAGAGTAAAATCAAAGGAAAAACATTACAGTAGGGAGAAATAGTTAACGCTAGTAATACATTTATCATAGTTGTTGCAATTTCATGGTTCTGTAAATTTAGATAAGCTATGATATTTAAAAAGGTGCAATTGCATTCTTGTCTAGTGACCACATACTTTCCTACTAAGTCAGCCCCTCTCAAGAAGGAGAGAGGAGAAGCAGAGGGGAAAGTTGCTTAAATATCAATATCCAGATAAAATGAAAGCAGCTCCTACAGAAACCTCAGTGTGACAGGTGCACATATGCAGTTTGCTTCAGACAAGGTCAGCTTGATTCAAAGTCAGTGCTCGCATAGTAAAAAGTTCCCATTGGCTTCAGTATGCTTTGGATCAGGCTTCAAAAATTAGCAAGCAAATTGTTAAGCATCCCTCAAAGTGGTGTGGTTTAGCAGATGAGGAGCTCTTCCATCCATAAAGAAATTGCAGTTTTGTAAGTGAGGGCCCTTCTGTCTGGCCTCGCACCCATATCACTGGCGGGATGATAATTTTCAATGTTAATACTCATAAGCCTGTATCTGTACAACTCTCACAGCATTGTGGAGACAGTGTGCAAAAGAGAATTTAAATGACAGCCACCTCACTGGATGGGATCCTCCCTCCAGGCTCTTGGGGTTGTTCCCTGTTTGGCAGGCTTGGGAGATACCTAATTAAAAGGTGGAAAATCTAAGGAGCAGAAAACCTTGGGTCGGAAGTGGGGGCTGGAATCAGCCTAGTGGGAGACTTACTCAGATGGCAATCAGGAAACTGAGGCAGGAACAAAATGACTCCTGATCCGGTCTGCAGAGACCCTGTTACATCCACAAGGACAGTAATTTTATTTTCCTGTATATAATATGTGCAGTTGTTATATTTGTAGGACATTACAACAAGGCTTTTGTTGCTGTAAATACACTGATCTCCTGAGCCAGTCACATTTTTGCTGCCCCAAATTGTAATCATTTTAATAACAGTGCAGAATGGAAGCAACATAAAAGAGTGGCTGTGCCAACCGATAGCTCCGAGAGGATTCAGTACCTCCTTCTGTGAGTGTATGCTTTAGATAAAAAAGATTTCTAAGAACGTTAATATGTTATATGTTAAGAATGTTAATATTTACATATTTCATGTCAAATTTACATGAAATGAAGTTACCGTCTCAGAACAATACTGTAAAAGAGAATCCTTCTTTTTAAGGATTTTTTTTTTCTAGCCTTTTTAGGAATATTGTTAAGTCAGTCATGAATTTTGATATGACTTACTCACACATCGATACACCTTATTCATACATTGCTTTCCTCAAGCAGGAAGAGTATTTGTTAGCAGGGTGTTCAAATCAGAGCCTTTTAAATAAAACCTAAGACGCCACCCTGAGCTTGAAAAGCAAGAAGAAAACATTATCTCAAATTTTCTTAGCTTGAGAGACTTCTCTAGGTTTTCAATACCTTTACTCAATGCCTAACGTGAAATTTCCCGTAAATATTTGTAGAAGATAGTTTATGGCAATATTGTCCTATACAATTGTGTGTTTCCTTTGTCAATTCCGTTCAGTTTGTGGGAGGTAAGGAATGCTGGAGCAGTGCTCACAAAAGCTAACACGCTCATCTCCTGCAGCCTGCTCCAGAACCGTGATGGTCAATGGGGAGACAATCTTGGCCTTTGGGCCCAATCCAATAACCCTTTAGGCCAAAGCTGTGTTACAGAGGTACTCCAATCTAGGCAGCACAGCTCATCTGTTTAGCTTGTAAAATCTTCTTGGACCAATATCTGAATTATGGTTCTACTAAAAACAGATAGAGCAGGTAAATTAATAGAAGATTAGAGAAATAAAGCATTTCTAAGCTATTTTTGTTATCTCCTTTTACTGCGCACTTCTTACAGAATTTATTTACAATATTGTGTAGTTTTATGAAGTTTTCTTCTTAGAGTAAGGCCTTCGGGAAAATAGATCCAAATATTTTGTCTCATCTCTCCTTCTGTGCATAGTAAGTATGTATGCATGTGCATGTACATATTGATTTATTTAGCTCTCTGTACCCATTCACACCCCACAGCATCTTCAATAATACCACACGTGCCCACACACTCAAGTAGCCATCGGTGTCCAAATCTGTCTTCCTTTAACACCATTTCAAAGCTGCCCATGTACATTGTGAGGGCCCAATTGGTGATTTCTATGTACATTTGTATTAGTGTTGTTAGAGAAGGGGAGAAGTGTGGTGCACATCACTTAACTACCTTAATCTCAGACATGCGCAGCCTGCCTCAGGCAGGATTAGACACAATTTGCAGTTATGGCTGATAACCCTGCTTGTTCCTTGCAGTGTCACACAGGACAGGTGCAGTATTTTGAAAACAGTGTCAGCACTAGGTGGCCTGTAGTTCCTTAATTATCAACTGGAGCAGTTTTTTTTTTTTTCCCCTCCCGTTTGGCAGGAAATATAGCCAGGCCCTGAAGTATTAGTTTGAATTGGTGTCACTAGCCATTGGTCGCACAATTTTATTCACCAGGATTATCAGTGCATCTGCAGACATAATTTTCTTCAGTGGCACATAGCTCCTTGGAAACTAAAAATAAGCAAACGGAGTCCTACTGCTGCTGTCTCCTGAAATCACTAGGGTGCCCTGGTCCTGCAGAGAGATTGCCATGGATTGCAAACGAGTTAGTAGCTGGGATTAAACAGGCAAGTGATAAAGGAAATGCTAACTACTTTTTATTGGATTTCTTTTTTGCAGTCACTGCTTGAAAAATAAACAGCTTTTTTTTTTCTTGTGTTTGCATAGGCTTCTTTTTTATTATTATGAAAAAAAAGAGTGTTGCCAGAAAAGCAGAACAAGTCGTGAATAATGTATCAAAAAGAATTAGGGAGCTTATCTTCTGTCCGTGGCATTTGCAAACCTAGTAGGAGGTTAAACATTTTGATTAATGCTTTATGAAGACCATTTCAGGGGTAGATGTTATTGCCTGGAAGTTCAGACAAAGCAATGGGAGAGCTCATATTCCCAACTGTTCCTATGGGATTTGGGCCAAATTACATAACCTTTTCATGTCACAGTTCACCTGTCTTTGAAGTGTGCATAAACGCCTACCTATGTGTCACAAGGATGTGATGAAAATTAGTGTTTCAGAAATGCTCCGAGATGAAAGGCACTATATAAGTACAAAGTATTCCTGTGATTGCTATTCTGAGAGGTCAGTGACTCATTTAAATCAGATAGGACTTTAGTACCATATAAACAAGAGACTTAACAAGATCTTACAATTGGTATAGGCTATGACTGTATGTGATTACCACCACCACATTATTATAATGGCACTAGTATGGTAATTTTAAATTAAATGTAGATCAAATTGTGTTGAAGAAGCAAACATCTACAAAGTCTACTATCAACGGATTTTATTTTCCCACAAGTGGTATTATTTTGAAGGAGTTATTTTCTTCTGCAGAATTTGCAAGTCAGGTATATTCAGGGCAGCTGCTAAGGAAGAAAAGTTAAACACATTCAATTTCACTGTCTAGAGTGAGACAAACCGAGTGCCAACTTATCTGAAGGTGCCACATAGTGTGGAAAAATGAAGCAGACAAAACCAGAGGGGATGTTTCCAAGATTTGTACCTCTTCACTGACTCCAGAGATTGTCTTCACCTAAGCAATACACCTTTACATCCTCTTACATCCAGCCTCAGCCCTACAGCATTAGCTCCGAGGTTGTCATCTGCCAGGCACTAGCAAGGACATTGCTAAGTGCTCTCTAGATCACATGGCCCGTTTTTAAGACGACATGAGCGATTAATTAGGCTTATATGTCAGCATTAATTGCAACAGGCATTAGACAGCGGACAGTCCATTCACCAGCCACGCAGAGCATTTGTGGGAGCTGCACAACAAGCAACGTACACTGACATCTGGGGAAAAATGCCAAAGATCTAATAAGACTTATTAGCAGCTAAAAGCCAAATCTCAGCAACGTATTAACTCAAAAGGTCACAGAGGCACATGCTCCCGGCAGCTAAACCAATATATATTTATAGT